CAAAAAACGCACTCTAAAATGCATATTTTCTAAATTAAGCGCATTTGTTTCTATATAGTTCTACAATCATATCATATCTTATCTGTTACTCTATCCGATATATGTAATTATTTTCCGCAACCGCAATCGTCATCACTCAATGCCTCTTTGCCAAGCGAACTTTTGAATATGGAAACGATATCCGTGTCGGCCGTCAAATGTAAAGCCGCCATTATAACGAAAACGGTTTTAATGATCTATGTATGTACAAAAGTATATGTAAAAATCATAAATGAAATCAATTTGTTGTGAAAAATTTTTAAATTCATTAACTTACAACAACACGCAAACTTAGCATGGCTATTAAGAATCTATTCTGTCAGCTATGGAGCTAAATTTACACTAAGCTATACATTTGTCAGTTTGTTTTCTACCACTTAAAATTTACTTGGCTTTAGGGCAATTAGGCAATAGCTTTGTACGACGGTGCGAACGTGCCACAAATCTTGATACCTCGAATGCCCTTTTACGCTGCGCCCGCATTTTGGCTCAGGGGGCGCCAATTTTTACTCGATTTTAAAAAACTTGTGTTAAATGCCTAAAAGTAGGCTAAATGTTAGCGTGCGAGAAGGCGTTTAATTCATTCACTTTGTTCGATTAGTAATTCTTTAATTTTGAAGGGCCAACTAAGTAGGTCGCGTACTTGAATACTCCACTAACATTGACCGAATTTCTTGCATTATTTGCAACTTTTACTGTCTGCGCACCGCACTTCCGTAAATACATATGTATGTACATATGTTTGCATGTATGTATGGCTGCACACCGCTGCGCTAATTTGTCATCCAACTTTGGCACAATTTTGCTTTAAGTTGTTATTTTTATTTGAAAATTATTTATTTATTTATTTGAAGAAAATTTTTGCTTTGCAATATAATTTTTATCATACCTTTTTGTTTTTTGTATATAAAATATACCAGCGCAGCAGAATTATGAAGTAGACGATGCAAAAAATGCAAAAAACACCGGCAAAATTTCGCTTGCATACGCTTACATACATACCTACATAAATGCATAGCTATGTACTTATACTAAGTAAGTTTTCTTACAGATACGAGTCGAATATTTTACTACTGCTAAAGCTTTTGAAACGCTTTGCGTTTAGAGGTAGAATGTACAGTGGGCTAATGTAGCAGTCAATTGGTCAAAATCATCAACAATAGGACTCCTCTACGGTGACTATTCGTACCGATTTTGCGGGACAGTACCGATTTTGTAAGTATAAGTGTCCCTATTTTTAATATTTGTACCCGATTTTCAGTGTTTTCTTTATTAATTTAACAACAGTCTTCCTGTACTTTGACCCAAAAACAATTTTTCGTACAAACGTGGAAACACTTTCGCTATCACAAAAAACACAGAATATAAGGGAGACACAAATAGCCAGCATCCATATTTGCTATGATCTTTCAAACTGTCAAACATGTTCTGTCAAACTGGTACTCTCGTTATATTGTAGTCATCATTATTGTGAAAAAATTGTAAGGGTTTTATAAATATTTGCTAATTTTTTTTAATGAAACGGTTCTAACTTGAATTTAGTGAAATTGTAAAAAATAATACTAATTCCCTCAAAAAAATCATGGATATGAAAAATATAAGCTCTCGATACAGTGGAGAAAATATTAATAGGAACGAGTCATTTTAGCATTCTCCGAAAATTAGAACAATCTGTCCAAGTTTCATAAAAATTTTGAGTCTTTTAATTATATTTCTTAGAAATATTCTGAGCTAGGGCTGTGCGATTATTCGATTACTCGAGCAAGTTGGTTAATCAATTATTCGGTTAATCAATTACTCGAGTAATCAAGATTTCGATTACTCAAAACGATGATTAATCGAGTTACTTGAAATATGATTACTCAAAAAAAATAATTTTGCTCGTTAATAGAGTTTGCTTTGGAAATTGCTTATTTTTTTTTTTTACAATCTGTATATGAAAAAAAATTTTTGTTTTAATTTTTGATTACTCATTTTACTCGAAATGTTGATTATCATAAAGCATTTTACTCAAATATTTTTGTTTTTGGTTAATCAAAAATCTTGATTACTCGAGTAACTGAACATTTGAGTAATCATAATTTCCAATTAATCGAATAATTGAGTTATTTACTTTATGATTAATTACAATTTTGAGTAATCAATTAATCGCGCAGCCCTATTCTGAGCCCATTAGTTTACAATCTGGTCACCGTATCTATAACGAAAACTCCTCTTTAACGAAGTTTTATTTTAAGATATTGCAATTTTTTCTTAAACGTGAGTGTTGCATAATTTTTAATTGATCTGAATTGAAAGTTGTGTAAATTACTAAATACTATAGACTTTTATTTTTTGGTCTAATCAAATCATGAATAAAATTTATTTGTAAACCAAATAAAAATTAATTAATTGCAAATCTATTTGATTCATGATTTTCCAACTAAAAGACTTACGAAAAACACTTTCTTTTATGTAATACAAGCACGATTTTGGAGAAAATAAAATTTATTTTTTATTTGGGGTTTGAATCTAATCACAAATAAATTATATTTATTAGTTGTCCATCGAATCAAATTACCAATCAAATATATATTTTTTTTTAATTAATAGCGCATTTTAAATCACTTAACCCTGATTAGCGCATAAAGACTTTTGCTTCAAAAATGACATTTCCATAACGAATTTATTTAAAAGCAATGCATGTTCGAAATTTATTTGCGTAGATTGAATTTTCTGCTTATTAAAATTAGTGAACACAAAAACCGCCAGACACGGTTACTTCAAATTTAAAATTTTACGCTTGCATTCATGTAATAGCTGAAACACAATACCGGCGAACTCACCAGCGATTTGTTAAATCTGGCTTAAAATAAATCAGTTTCCAAGAATTTCCCCTTGTTTTAGATTTATGTATGTAATTATTTCCCCATTTTTAAATATGGGTCAGTTTTTTTTTAAATTATTAATGCAACGAAGTGGTATCAGCTATTTTCGTTACCGCAATAATTGTGTTAAAGTAGGCGAAATGGCAGGGCGAACGGTGAACAACGGAATCGCCGGTGTTTTGTATCAAGCGTAAAACAGCGACGATCAGAGATATTTATTTATACTCTGCACTCGCCCGGATTATTTCTACTGAAAGATTCACACTAGTCAAGACCAAAACTTAACCCGCGGGAAGAGCTCTTTGAAGCGTTATGTAGATTTTAGCTCTGATGCAATACTTTTCGTGGAAAATCCTGTAGAAATGTCAAACAGAAAAGCTACTGAAGTGAGAGTAAGTACACGTAAAGATCAATATAAAAATAACGCAGAAGATAAATATAGAGATGAAGATTAAGTTTAGAATTAAGATTAAGACTAAGATTATGATAAGGGTTGCGATTAAATTTATTTGAGATTCAAATGTGGACCCACTGTAGAAATTTTCTGACGGGATGGAGCAGTGTTACCAGATTTTCATAATTAATTCTATCTCCAGTTGTCATATGGGCAAATCCTATCATTGCGGGTGTTACGTTACCACGTTTCCTTAAAAATTTTTTGTAGGCAAAAAATTATAAGCTAATAAATTTCTGTGGTATAAGGGACGGTTTAAAGCGGTACTTATAAGAGCAAAAAATGGAAATTTAAATTTGAATTAGTGTCGGTGAATTGGCGAATTTGCTTACACCTGTGCGCCACTTTAGTAGCCATTTTAAGTCCCTGATTCAGTTCAGTTCTATAAAATGATCAGTTAGCCGCTCTAAAAATTCGATCAATGTGGGAATTTCCCGCTCGTTTTATTCTATAATTTTTATTTGGTTGGCAACCCTATGCAAGTGGAACAAAGGTGCAACTACAGTAAGACCCGCTTATGGATATATTATTTTGGGTCATATTCAAATAGATATTGTTTACAACTTATGTTTATTTATTTTTAAGATTTTCCAACTAAAATACAGTGCATTCCCTAACAAATACCATATAAACCTAAGTTTAAAATTTTGAAGAACACCGAAAAAAAAAATTCATAAAATTTCAAACATTTTGCTCCGTAGTGCAAAGTTTTTTTAATTTACAGTTTTATAGCCAAAAAATTTAAAAGCGCACTTAAAAGTGGAAAATTGTAAGTAAAATGGTAAATGGGGTACGAAAAATTTAAGTACTTAAGCGGGTTGGGTAAATAAGCGGGGAGGTACTTAAGAGAGCGATTTTCTTCAGATTACATAAAAAAATTCACGGTGCCCAAAAATGCTGGTTACTTAAGCGGGCTAGGTACTTAAGCGGGCTTCACTGTACCTACAGTTTATCGCTGTTTTTAGCTGGAGTATTTGGAGATTCACATAGCCTATTCGTACTCTATTACAAATTTTTTACATTTTTATTTAACGTATTTAAGATTTTATTAATAACATGTACATACACGCATACATATGTACACATTTCCATATGTGTATACCAAAATGCAGTTATGTATAAAAATGCACCGTAATTTAAATGAAAATGATTCATAGTAAGTATATATTTTTAATGCACTGGGCTCACTCTGTGTTAATTAATTTCGCTTATCACTGAGCAGCTCATTTCATAATACAATTCAAATGGTTTAGCGTGCAACAACAACACAAAAAAAATATAATAATTGTTTTGCTACGAATATTGTGCACCAGCAATGCAAACGTAAAATTCAAATTCGGTGCGTTACATACGAAAAGCCTCACGAAAATACTAAATTATGTATGTATGTACATATTTACATACATACATACTCGTAGTGTAGCTATTATGCAGTAAAAATAGAATTCGCCATTTCCATGTGGAAATGCCGTATGGAAATACTGCACACCACCCCCGTTGCTTGACTCGAAAATCGTTTTGTCACGTAATGTCCATAAGCGTCGAATGCCTTATTTCAGCTATAAAAACTTAACAAAAAATACTTTGAACGCATTCACAAAATCTTCTAACTTCAACATCAAACAGCAAATTTACGCAAAATGAATAGATTCCTGGTAAGTATGGCACAGTGTGACGGCAGCTTAGCCTAGCCTAGCCTAGCTGCTCCTATTGCTACATATTTCCCCTACTGCATGTATGTACATATGTATAGTATTGGATTAACACTGTTGTTGTTTATTCCATATTTTTAGTATTCCTTTGCAACCATTGTGGCTGTTGTCAATGGCTACGCAATTGGAGGCGGTCAGTATGGTGGCTCCAGTGGCGGCGGTGCGGTGATCGGTGGAAGTGTCTATCGACCAGCTGTTTCGCAGCAAACAATTGCTGTAGCGGTGCCTACTTACAGTGCTTCCTCCGGCGGCTACGGCGCTTCCTCCGGTGGCTACGGCGCTTCCTCCGGCGGCTACGGTGCTGGTTATGGTGGCTCGTCAGGAGGATATGGTAGTTCGTCGTCCATTGATATAAGCAGCTTGCTATTGGCAGCCGGAGGTGAACTCGGCACACAAAATTTGGCTCAACTGGCATTATCACTGCCATCAGCTGGAGGTCCGCTAATTGACACCACTGGTCTTTCCTCCTACAGCGGCAGTGCATCTTATGCTGTTCCATCGGGTGGCAACCTCGCCTATGCTATTGCTCCAGCTCCGATCGTACACCATGCTCCAGCACCAGCTCCAAGCGTTTACCATGCTCCAGCTCTAGCTGTAGCTCCACATCATGCGCCTGCATTAGCACCAGCACCCGCCGCAGCTCGTAGTCCTTCAGCTGCTGCTGCTGCCAGTTACATTTCAGATAATAGCGTTGTTGCTGCTCCAGCCTCTGCTGCCGCTTATTAAAATCTGTGATATTAAATATTTATACTAAATTGTGCATGTTCGATGTTAAGTTCAGAATAAAATGTGATATTTCGAACAAAGAAAAACACAAAAGATAAACTACTTTTTGATACTTTAACGGTTTTATATACGTTCGATATTAGAAGTAACTCGATTTTTGGAATGGCTTTTGTGGGACCCAAGCGCTCAAATTATTCACAAGTTTCCTTTGTATGTAGGTAAATGAAATGCGCATTCACTGAAAGCTCATCGGATTGACGTGTCACTCTAATCGAAATGGACGTTAATCTATTACTAACAAACGTTCAGATATACTATGCTACATACGTATGTAAATATGTGCATAGCTGGGTGATTACCTAATTATAATGCCAATACTCTTACTTACATATGTACATACATATGTATGTACCACACATGAACATTAGGGTAGTCTTTATATTTGCAAGTCGGTGAAACCAAAAACCAAAAATTCTTTGAAAAGCGCAATGCTATGTATTACACAGCCCGACGAAACATTGGCACAAATTCAAAGACGAAAATGCAGAAAGATATCCAATTTTTAAAAGGTGCAACAGATGGCGCGGTTATTAAACCCGATGATATCGATATCGTCAGTAATTGCGCGCTCTTCTTCTGTATAAGCTTAAAGGAGTCGCGGCTCAGAGAGGTCCTTCTCAATTCGGACGGAGGTGATGGTGTTGCTTAACGCCTTAACGCCATTTTACACAGCCGTTTCAAAAATGTACATAGGTCCGCAAGCGGTATGTTTGTTGTTCTTGGCATGCAGTTGCAGATTCAGGACTATATTCAAGCCCGACTCTTGCGTGCCCGTTCGCGCACTCTGGATAATGTGAGAAGCCCACGTGTGGGATGCGGTAGTGAATCCTTGTGAAGTCTTGGGCTACGGCAGAAAGAGAGTGAGTTTTGGTGGCTTCCCTCCGATTTATTTGGCTCACGGTCCGGCTGCAAGCGGACGTCTGCCTTAGATCAAATACATAGCTTGCTCTAACTATGTACATTTACATAAATATGCAGTTTATAAGACGCTCCCAGAAACGGCTTGTGAGCTGGGATTGGGACGCGCAACATAAAACCTAGCTCCCTAGAATACATAGTAGTAAAAAATCTTTCCTCTCGGCAGCCATGAAAAAAAAGGATTATTATTAGGGTGATAGGAAATTCAGATTGTTGGCTCGCGAAATTTGTGCGATTGGAGAATGCCTGTTTCCTGATAGATTTAAAATGTCTTAAGCCACACTGCACAGTGGTTCAAAATTGGCATTTTGTGTTCACAATTAACTGGAGCCTTCGTTTTTCACTCCATTTGATTTAAATTTTTTTTAAATGAAAGCTAATAAAATTTTCAAAAGACAAATTGAGCCCGTTTTTTGAATTTTCGCTTGTTTCTATTAATTTTTTAGTGCAAAGTGCAGAAAAAGTAGCAATTTTGAGGAAAATCGGTTCTTCTGTTCCAGTTAATAAATTTTATATAATAAAAACTAGTTTAAAACCATTGTAAGGTTCTCCCAAAACGAAAAAGTTCAAACAATTAAAAGTTATAAAAAAATGTTCACCAAAATTAATTTTTTTTCGGTTTTTATAAAAATTTTGGGTATGCAGTTTTATAGATCATTAAATTTTAGTATAATAAATTGCAAGTTGCAAGCAGCATGCAGATGTGCTCGAAATGTTAGCGAAAAAATTATTAAAAATCAACGCAACCTCTTAGCCACTCACTTTATTATACTAAAATCTAATGATCTATAAAACCCAACATTTTTCTAGAAACTCAATTTTTTTTTTTTTTAATTTTGGTGAAAACTCATATGGCTGATCCCGCTGTATTTTGCAGTCACAGCTGGGCACACTTATATTGCAGTTGGCAGCCATGCGATCTTCCGACTATATTCTGCATACAAGTTGATGGAAGCAACTCAATTGGCAGGTCGTATTTTTCATCAGAGCAGGGAGCTAAAGTATAAATAATTTGCTTAAGTATGTTCTGCACATCATTTGCTAGGCTACCGCGTTTGTTCTCAAAGGAATTAGTCCCGACATGAGAACCTCCATAAGTTCCCTAACTTTCTTATAGACTTTTCGGGCTTTATTCCTGGCGGCCGGCGTTTCAAGGCCTTTGGAATCATACATTTCTGCCTCGGCTCACATTCACAATTTTGAAATTATCTTAAAACCTTTAAACTTCGGGTATTATAATTAGAAAAAAATCAAGGTATTTTTAAAAGGGATTTTGTATCAAAAATTATTATGTTCGTTAAGCAGAAAGATAACTTCATTTAAATATTACATCTGGTCAAGAAGCTGTGAACAACTAAATTAATTTTTCAAATGGGACAAGCACTTTTTCGATACATGTTGGTTATTTTATCGATTTTTGGCACGCCCACATGAAAGCAGGCTATGCGCCAAATTTGATCGAAATCGTGAGTTATCACTACTTTTGTGCCGTTTAATATGGAACGGCCGTTTGGTAACTTACTTAGCGCTAACATCACAAAAAAAACAAAAATTTTGAGTAAATTTACTAGCAAGTTTACGACTCAGACGAAAACTAGCATGCGCGAGCAAGTTGAGTTTAGTGCTAAGTCTCGCCTACTAACCGCCTACGAAAGTATTTTGCGACCCGAGACCACTTTGTTTTTTTCATGAATCCAATCAAACTTATGACGAATTGGTTAAAATTGTTTGCAGATCGTTTTACGCTCAATTATTATAGACTGTAACGGAATTGAGAAAATGCTACAATTCTCACATTGATGAACAGCATTTATCAGCCAAAGACGTGTAAGCCATTCGCTGCGCAACGCCACAAATAAAGACAAACAACAAACAACGCTCCCGACTGACGGTTAATAACTTCTTGCTGCCTTCAGCATGGTAATCTTTACGCTACCCAGTTGCAGTTGGTTGAATTTTCATTGAATGTGTCACGTAACCGCTGCGCAAACGGGCGGACGGCCAGCATACACTTTTTGATTTCGGCATATAAAAAGCATTTGAAATACTTTTGCCAGCTAGTAGTCTAAGCTATTTCAGAGGCAAAAACCACTCGACACCACCAACCGCCAAAACCACCAAAATGCAACGTTCAATTGTAAGTAGCTCAGCAAACTAATTGCGCAAGTATGTGCATGTGAATAATCATTGCTTCTTCTTTTCCACCTCTAAATATGTACAGTGCGCCATCGTTCTTGTTCTGGCTGTTGTGAATGCAGCTCCTTATGGTAGCAGCAGCGGTGGCTATGCCGCCCCTTCTCACGCCCCAGCGCCAATCTACAGCAGAGAAGCCATAGTCAGTCAAGAGGGGCCAAGCGTTTTGTATGATATTCCTGCTCCATCGCACTGGAACTTAGCTCCCGCAGCAGCAGCCGGTCCCGTACTCACACCAGTCAATGCCCATCACATCTCTGGCTCTGGTACACCATCGTCGCTGGTTGGCATTTCCTCGCAACCAAGTGCCATTGCTGCTGCAGCTTCTGCCAACGTGCCACTGAATGCAGACTCGTACAAACTCTTGATTGTGCCCTCCTATGAAGTGCCCAATATAGTCGGACCGGAGCCAGCGCTTCCCGCCCATCGCCCATCAGCTGGTGGTATTTACGGCATTCAATCGGCCAGTTATTAATTCAACGGCCTTTGAAGTTTCCAAATGAACTTAATGAGACTTTGAATTAAATACACGCTCTGGAAACAAAGTCCTTAAATAGTGAAAAAAAACTTTGTTTTATTTTGAAACTTTTTAAAGGTATAA